GTTGCCCAACGTGGAACCATTCTCTTAAAAAGTCATAACTCTCGATTTACGGATGAGATACGTTCTACGTTTTTTCTTTCTTAAAATGATTGATGATATTTTTAAATCTTTGTAATTACAGATAATAGTATATTTTTGTTAGCTCTACATCTCTATGATTCGATGTGGGAATATGGAAATTAATAATTCTGCAATCTTATTAGGCAGCTCTATATTCCTAAATCTTAATATTCCAAATTATAGTAATGGATCTTTATATCCCTAAATTTATAAATTCTCCACTTTCTAAATTTCCAAATTACTATACACCCAAATTTCTAAATTCTCCTCTCTCTAAATTTCCAAATTTCTACATCCCTAAATTTCTAAATTCTCCACTCTCTAAATTTCCAAATTTCTATATTCCCAAATCTCTAAATTCCCAAATTTCGACATCCCTAAATCTCTAAATTCTCCACTCTCTAAATTCTCAAATTTCTACATCCCCAAATCTCTAAATTCTCTACTCTCTAAGTTCCCAAATTACTACATCCCCAAATCTCTAAATTCTCCACTCTCTAAATTTCCAAATTACTACATCCCTAAATTTCTAAATTCTCCACTTTCTAAATTTCCAAATTTCTATATTCCCAAATCTCTAAATTCCCAAATTTCTACATCCCTAAATTTCTAAATTCTCCACTCTCTAAATTCCCAAATCCCTCTACTCCACATTCCTCCATCCCTAACTCCACATTCCTCTATCCTGAATCCCTCGTCACCTCATACTCTTATTCCACTGAAACACTATCTGAACTGATTAGTGTCACTGATTACCCTAACACGATTAGCATAAAGAGAACAAGCTAACAGTCAAATCAGACTTACAGATTGACATGATTCTTCTATCCACATATCAACATCAGTAAACATTATAACTCATCCATATTCCCAGTGAAATCACAATATTATTCATATTATATCCATTATGAAATTAATTTTATGCACGCAAATTGTCACCAATTAAACTACTTAGCTAATTACTAATCAATGTTATTCAATAATTCACACAGAATTAGGGGAAGGTTTCACGAAACATGTAGATTAATTCTGCCTAAATGAAATAATTAATTAATATTAAACGAAATTATTAATCAATCGAAATAGTTCGATCAATATTCCGCTAATATTATCACTAGGTTATCCACGATAAATCTTACCCGCGAACGGAAACCTCTTATCCTTTAACGAGCAGCGCATTAAGCGCAGATTCAATGCATTCGCAGAATCTCATTCGACGGAAGTAATCAACAAGCATTTCGATTAAACTGCTTGTAAAAGGTAATTGAAAGAACGTTCCGGCATTTCGAGCCTCGAACAAATCACTGTTTAAATACGGCTGCACGTAGTACACGTGTGTACACATACTCAGAATCGTGGGAAGGTTCTGCATGGCGGAACACGGGAAAATAATTTACTATGCAAGTGTAACCGTAATGTCCAGAGGGTACCATATTTCAAATGCGAGTATTTACTCGTTTTGGTTGTCTACCGATTGAAAAACGAAACATTTTCTGATTCGTTCTGTATGTGACGATTAAACGACGTGGGATCGTTAGGATACTCAACAAGTGAATATAAGTGGACTGTATCTAAATTTCACTTCGAACTTGATTTTGCTATGTATTTGACACAATATGGAGTCTACATTAACCAGTAGCCACAATCACAATTAACCGTTGCATCAAAGCTAGACAAGTTCTGTTACTTACTAACTGAACTATAACTTCTCGTTGTTTAGAAGTTGCAATAGTTTATTTTGTATGAAGTCGATCACTAACCATAGCCAATTATGCATCAGCAACTGTTGATAACTGTACCATTACTTCTAAACTAATTTTTCGTTTAAAAGTTGCAATCGTTTATTTTATACGGAATCTACAGTTAGCCTTCATAATTACAAAACTTCATTGCATCCAGAGTGGATAAGTTCCATTAAACTGAACAGTTTTTTATCGTTTGGAAGCTGTAATCATTTATTCTGTATAGTAATGATAGTAGCCATAATCATAAATACCACATTGCAAATAGTATTGTAATTCTTATTACCTATAAACTGAATAGTTTTCATCCTCTAGAAGTAATCGTGAGTCTAACTGTATATCGCGTCAGTAAGTGACGATTACCCAACAAGTGAACATAAGTGCACTGTATCTTTTCACTTCGAACGACTAGATTTTGCAATGTACTCGAAAGTGTCTTCGAAGAATTTTTACGTTTCACAAAATCTTGAAGTGAGCGTATTGTGACATTGCTGAGGGAAAACAGTTTCTAATTTTCTATTGGTTCAGCTAGAATTCGGGTGATGTATGCGAGTGACGTATGAAGTCTTTTCCCCAAAGTGACTTGAAGTAATAAAACGCAATATCTCGACATGAATAGAAAACTGCGAACGAAAGACTCTACTGCTAAGGTTAAGGGTTCACAGATGTGACTAACAAACCAGAAATACTCCCTAGAATGTGACTCCTGTATCGCTGCTACGGGTAATTGATTCGAAACTACAAATAAAGGAACGAAAGTGTCGTTAGAAACTTGTGATGTCTAATCTCGCTGTAATAGGCATTCCACGACCTAACACGTTCTAATCGCTAATTGATTAATTTCGAAACGTCGTAGTTAATTGCAAACAATGAATATCGAAATCTTCGGTTTCTCTGGAGGGAAAGCTACTAAATTGCAGATAAAATGCATTAATACATTTTCGAGTACAAATTGTTCACTCGATATAATAACGTGAATATTTAAAATATACAGCTCAACGTGGACACTGTTTTGTGACACGTTTTTGTGCTTCAAAATTGATCATTTGATATGCAACGGCTTAATGAAATTGTAAGATAACACGAGAATAGGTGTTGCATGTGTAGTTTCTATTTTGAAGAGAACGACTTTGAGGAGCAATAGAGCATGTTTAACTGATTTGACTCGGTCTAATAAATCTTGTTGCACGCTTTCATCAAGATCTCGCTCGTAGCCGAGCTTAGTGAATCGTGTCGGATCGAAGACGCGTGAATTCTTGTCGATATTGTCCGTGTTTTTTCGATTATTTCACGCTTTGATGCTCTAATGTGGAATTATAGAGTGTCTCTGTTACTTTCAATGACTTGTTAATTGTCTACTGGTGTATTAAACCATTTCGAATTATTGTGTAATTTTTGTAGACATATGTGTTGCTTTAGGGGTAGTTTTAATGGTAGTTTAATCGAGATGTAATCCTTTCTTCTTTTATTGCTTTTTTCAATTAAAAGGATGTAAATGTTGGGGCGAGATGAAACACCCTGTATAATATCAACGTCCATCTTAAATGAATCACCCTGTACAATTTCATCAGTATTTAACATTGTCTCTTTTCTCCACAAATTATTGACCCAAAATTATTCCTTGAATTACAATGTTGACTGCCATCTTGTAAACACAATTTACACAACTTTGAAATACACACATTTAACACGAAGAAGTCATTGAACTCGATTAAATTTCGTATTATTCAGAAAGTAAATCGACAAAGTGACATTCCGCGTAGATATTTCGTTTCCGGAATGGAGAAAAAGTAAAGGATATCACGAGTTACGGAATCAAACGTTGAATTCCGCTTCACACCGCGGTAAGTATTCGTAAAATGAATAATTTACGAGCGCACTAACGACGATAAGAGTCATACACGTCAATTAAGAGCACACGCGCTCGATGTTTGTAAAGTCAATTTTAGCCGGCTCGTCTCTGATTTCATTTCCGAGCAAGGAACTTGTTCGGGAAGTCATTATTTTGTCCAACCGGGCCAGATGTTGCAGACACTTTCCAACCGTTAGTTACGTGTCTTCCTTTCCCATTCATTATCGCGATAAGTTGCTCCTGGTGTATCAAACTCGCACGATCATTCGTATAAACATGAACTTTGCCATTCTAGGGAGGACGTAAATTACTCGGGATGAAACTTTGGGGAGCTTGACAGAAACAACGGGATTAAGGTAAATGTTACGACCATGTCCCCGTTGGGGAACATTCTTTGCTTCAGTTTAACATCCCTCTTCTTTCGATTGAGGTTACATTTATGGCACTCAAGTCAAAATGGATCATAGGTTATGTACTTTAAATTAGGGTGACATTTATGTTTAAAATATTTGATAAGATAATTTGAAGAATTATTGAAGTTAATTGTCATAAATTTAGTTAATTTATTAATATTGTTATTTTTTTGATTATCAATATTGACTTAGTTAATTGTGAGTTATTAGATATAATTAATTTTGTAAAAATTTTATGATATTTTAATATTTTTAAATCTTTTCTCACTTGTAAATTAAGTATTGTTATTTATTAACACTTTTAAGTAATTGTTATTCTTAAATGCTCTCAAACATTTTATTTTTATATATTTTTCAATAATGATCATTTTAAAAGTACATTACAGTAAATTTTAAGGGTTGAATTTTTATTATTTCTAATTAAGGTTAATTTATCATTTATTATTGTTTAAAAGTGAATGTTATGTAAAAATTTTACTTCTTCCAACAACTTCCACTTTATAAAATTATTTAACCCCCCATAATTGTTGGAAACTGCCTCCAAAAATCTGAGGAACATCAAGTATAAAAAATCAGAAAACTGTACAAAAATACCTTCCACAATAAAATTTTGTACAATTTTCAACGAAATTAAAACAGTACATCTATTAATATTTACTGAACACAATTTTCTAATTCTTCTTCTTCTTCATAAGTGTTTAACTATACTTGATCCTCCACAAAATTTTGAAGAACAGTAAAATAACTTTTTAAGAACATAAATTTTTAAGTAGCTTTCAAGAATAATGAAAGATTAAATGGTTTATTGAATATTAATATAGTGAACTAATAATATCCCCAAGTAAACGCGGGGCACAGCGTTGTCGCGAACTCATGGAAACGAGAATTTCTGCAATGCAAACGATAAATCGATATCTGAGAACGTTTTCTAACCTGCTGAAGATGTCCTTGAGTTCGTGTTCAGACACGAACTGACCGAGGTTCGCCACGAACAGGGTGGAACAGGGTGCGTTGCTCACTGCAATGTTCGGCTGGGACGAGGGTGAACCTACCGGCGATGCCAGGGCCGGCGAGGGCAGGAAATGGGGCAACGACGCGTGTATCGACGTCAGCGTCGTTGGATGCGGCAGAGACATGGGCGCCTGAAAAATAAATACATTTCTGTAAGGATGGGTATATTTCACAGGGAACGGTTTAACAAAAATTATTATTGTTTGATTTCTTTCTTCGTTCTCTAACAAAATATTGCATACATTGCATTTAACAAAATAAGCATTGTTCCGTGCCTTCCCCACGGTTTTATGGGAAACGCATCGTTTTGCATTTTTGGGAAAAACACAAGCTTGTCATTAGAAGCTTGGAAGACATCAATAGTCTCCTTCAAATCTGGATCGAAACTTTTTGAGAGACTTCTTAGTTTATGGTGGCTTAAACCCATTACGATTATTGTCCTTATGTTTCATTTGCTTGTTCTTACATTTCATTGTTAGTTCAAAGTTAATACACGGAGACCATCAAGTAGACGCTCACGGAATTTTTAATTTATCGATCAAATATAAGCTGACTTGAGATATCGTTCGCGATTATAATGTTTAATACATTATTTGGTTTGTACATGTGATGTGTGGAGGAGTCTTAAAGAGTCTCATGTACCAAATAATTTTTATATCAGTCTATTTGAATTAATACAAAATTTTCAGCATAGAATTCTGGTTATGCAGACATAACCAGATGGTTGTCTTCTTGTTATTATTTATTCTATATTAATATAACCGTTTGCAATTACAAGATTACTCAATCTGCTGAGTACATTTTTACATCATTTTAGTACATTTTTATTTCATCAAACATATGATTAAACTAGAAGAAAAATTTCCTAAAAAATAACTAGTCAAAAATCTCATATAAACAAATTAAAATTGAATTTTCTACTACGGTATTCCATTACTAAATTATTTCACCGAATTAAATTTGATCGATCAAATAAATAAATTTGATTAACCAATTTAAATTTGATTAATCCGAGTGACGAAGCAGTGAAACGTTAATTGTTGAAAGAAATTTCTAATCGTACATTTTAATGACACTAATATCGCCTAATATTCTGTCGAGTGCATTCACTTTAAGTAATTGTTTAAATAACACGAACGCGTACCATTGAAACCGTAGTCCATGACCGACTTACGGAGCGTGGATTAATTAACGCAGGAACCGTGTTAAATACGAATGCAGCATAATTTGCAGCGACGTTAAAAAAAAATAGCGTTAGAACAGAATGGATACACTGGGCGAGAATTAAATTTTCTTTACAATAATTCTTCTAAACACAAAATAATTACGACTGGCAGATAAATCATTGGATGTTAATTAATCTACGTTTCAAATGCATTTCAAATAATAATGTTTGGTTACTTAGATATAATGTATAATGTTCATTAATATATATGCAAAAAATAGACAATATTTTATTTAAAATACACCCTACATCACTTTTTTAAACAGTAATTCTATACCTTATTTTTCTTTTCAGTTGAAACGAAGTGTATAAATTACAGAATCACTGATTAATATCAAAGTGAAAAAAAAATTAATACAGTCATAAAAGACTAAAGAAATATACCGTAATATCAAAAAGAAATGTAAGGAAAAAAATTCTATACTTTCAGATTTACTTTAACTAGCAAGTTTCGATTAACCAATTTGAATTTCCCGCCAATGTCACATTAATGGCCGCGCAATTACGCGTTGCGCTACTAAACGTTATACTGCTGCATTGCTGCGTCTTAAAAGTAAGAAAATAAATTCAATATCTTTAGATTTACTTTAACTAGCAAATTTTGATTAACTAATTTGAATTTCCCGCCAATGTTACATTAATGGCCGCGCAATTACGCGTTGCGCTACTAAACGTTATACTGCTGCATTGCTGCGTCTTTCGATTGTAAAGTCAAGTCCCTGATTTACATAAGTACAAGCTAAAAAGATGTTCGGAGATAAAAAAGCACATCAAAGCAATTTGATAAAAAGTCAAAGTATTTTCGTCCGCAAACGAACGTTGAACAGATTCCCAACTCAAAAGACGTTTTCACGGGAATTTTACTGACCGTTTTTTTTAAACATTATGATCGCGAACAGAATTACGAGAATCTCGACTGTACACAAATCACCGTGTAGACGCTTATGAAAGCAGATTGCAAACTTCCCAAGTGAATATATTCTCTATTTAGCCAAGATTTCGCCTCGTTATTCCGTCAAGTACACGCTGTAAAATATTTTCATTTCTGTTCAGAAAATAGTGGTATTTACAGACGGTTGGAATGGTCATTCAAAAACAGAAATGGATGATTCGCTTTTACGTTAGAAAATTAAATGGACTTCGATATTCGCGAGGTTCACTACCATTCTTTTTCTTATCGAAATGGAAATTTAAAGGAGAAGCTAATTTTGTTTATTGGAATTGGGGGAGTAAGTTCAGACAAATAATTTTTACATTTGAAGAAAGAGGTATTTTTTTAATTTTCAAATTGCCAAATTTCTCATTACCAAACTATTTGAAAAATTGACTTTCTAAGAAAAATAATTTATAACAAATTTAAGGTTATAAAAATAAAAACCATCAATCATAAAGAATTTTACCAACCACCCCCAAAAATCAACTTGCTAAGAAAAATAATTTATAACAAATTTAAGGTTATAAAAATAAAAACCATCAATCATAAAGAATTTTACCAACCACCCCCAAAAATCAACTTGCTAAGAAAAATAATTTATAACAAATTTAAGGTTATAAAAATAAAAACCATCAATCATAAAGAATTTTACCAACCACCCCCAAAAATCAACTTGCTAAGAAAAATAATTTATAACAAATTTAAGGTTATAAAAATAAAAACCATCAATCATAAAGAATTTTACCAACCACCCCCAAAAATCAACTTGCTAAGAAAAATAATTTATAACAAATTTAAGGTTATAAAAATAAAAACCATCAATCATAAAGAATTTTACCAACCACCCCCAAAAATCAACTTGCTAAGAAAAATAATTTATAACAAATTTAAGGTTATAAAAATAAAAACCATCAATCATAAAGAATTTTACCAACCACCCCCAAAAATCAACTTGCTAAGAAAAATAATTTATAACAAATTTAAGGTTATAAAAATAAAAACCATCAACCACAAAAAAATATTTTAACAACTCAAAAATGTTCACTTCTCAAGAATTAACTTTCTCAGAAAAACAATTCGTAACAATTTTAAGATTATAAAAATAAAAACCATCAACCATAACTTACCTATTTTCGAACTTATGAAAAATAATTATTTTTCTCGTGTTATTAAAAAAAAAAGAAATATTTCAATAATTTGAATGTTTCTAATATTCGTATCTGATGTGTCTAATCTTTTCAATAACATTCAAAGTAAAATGTCCGTTTCATGCATTTTAAAAGTAAAACGCAGGAAAAAGTGCACGATAGCACGATAACCGCATAAATTCTTCTTCAAATCGAACAGGAAATAATACTTCCCTGTTGTCACGTTACCGCGATAAAAAAGTTCGATATCGTTCACACGCGTGATAGGTACCCCCGTGAACCTGGCACAGGATTAGGCGATATTAAAAATCAATAGTTCCTGGTTGTTTGGCGAATTCGTACCCGCTTGTACCACACCGTTCTTAGCGTTGTTACGGAGAACACGGTAGGGGAAGTTTCCTGTATTCGTTCAAAAAATAACTCCATAAATTGGAAACATATTTTCACTTCTGAATGAGGTAATTTGAAAATAATTATAGCAATTGTAATCAATGGGCGAATTTAATAAAACAGATTGCAATTTGGGATGTAATTTGCTTGCAATAATGGGATGTAGAAAATATTTGCAGAATCGATAACAATTTTACATTGAAAAATATTTTCAATTAGTGGTTTGATAATTTAGTGATTTCATGTTTGAAACAGAAAAAATATTATTTGAGGTCCAATTTACTATTAAGTATAATTTAACCCCGTTTCAAGATTGAATAAATTTTCAATTAGTGATTTCATGCTTGAAAAAGAAAAAATATTGCATTACTTGAGGGCCATCTTAAGTACTATTAAGTCTAATTTAACCTTGATTCACCACTGAAAAATATTTTCAATTAGTGATTTGATAATTTAGTGATTGCATTCTTGAAAAAGAAAAAATACTGCATTACTTGAGGACCATCTTAAGTACTATTAAGTCTAATTTAACCTTGACTCAACGTTGAAAAATATTTTCAATTAGTGATTTGATAATTTAGTGATTGCATCCTTGAAAAGGAAAAAATATTGCATTACTTGAGGGCCACCTTAAGTATTAACTGTAATTTAACCCCATTTGAACATTAAGTAAATATTCACTCCATTTTGAAATTAACCTCACAAAATTAACATTGAAATTAACCTTTGATTGCAACATTTAAGTCTAAAAATAGTGCAAGCAATAAATATCAAAATATCATCCCTCCATATCAGCTATAAGAGTTTGAAATTTATTCAGCAATCAGAAGTTATAGTTGGAGGCAAAATTATGTGGACCAACATCAAAATGAAACATTTGTCACACAGTAATTATTATTTATTCTATACAGTTTCTGGTTTCATGTTATTAAGCAAGGAGTGAGTTACAACCCCGTGATAAGGGATGTACCTAAGTTAATTTACGAGCGAATGGTCTAACTTCTTAATTTGAACCATTAGTACGGTCCAGTTTAGGATTTGGTCCAAATTAGAGGACCCGCTTCTGCCGTAGGAAATTTATGATACCAGTATTGCTATAGAAAATTTTGTGTTCGATACAAAATTTTGTCTTTGTTCGCAATTATACTCTGAAGAATTTTAGTGACTTTTAGGGCAAATAAAATAGATTCGAGAGAAAATTGCATTATAAGTTTCTTCCACCATTTTAGTTCTTTCTAATGTTTGTTTTTGATTTATTATGATTTGGAATTGGTAAAATTATTTTTCCGTGATCACCTGAGCTCACAGGGTAATTTGTTCGATTACTGAATTAGTGTATTTTTTGTAAACTAAACAACGAAACCTACCTCCTAGAGACAGAGGATAATTTCAATGCCTAAATCAAAAGAATCGAGGGTGCATGTAGTATAGAAGTATGGCGGTCGAAAAAGAATAGTTTAAACCCGCACATTCACCAGTAACTTATTTCTAATAAATATTTTGTCGTATCTCTGTAACACATTCATCTGTAATTTCTTGTGATATATAGTTTTCCATTTTCTTACAAGTTATTTGTAATAATCATTTCCGTAATACATATTCTTCAAATATATTTTGTAGAGCAATCATTTTGGTATATTCTTTTCTTTTCAACTTTTCAACGCCGTAAAATTGATAAAAATACCTCAAAAGACAATATTAGTAATATACAGAAAATTTATTACAAATATATTCCAAATTATTAGAGATCGACATGAAAGTAGATTTGCTCGATTTAAATTTCCCGCTCGTTTGTACGACCAATTTAAAGGAACAGCTTTCGAGAGATCAAAAGTCCCGACATTGTCGCCTCTAGTTTACTCTGTGAAAAGGACTTGGTGTTAAAATGAACGACTCTAAGTTACCAGCTCCTTTGCTTGACTGAAAGAATTTGTAAATTTGCAGGAACTTGTCTCGTATTCGAACAGATTACCCTGTTTTTCGAAGCAGGTCGAGCCGTCAAGCCTGCTCTCGAAACGTCTACGTGCGTGTCTAGCTGCTAGATGTATCGTATGCTAGGTAATCGAGTATAACGATCATGTATCACTAACGTGCATCGGGGCGCTCGTCGGCGGCTCCAGAGCTTTGTCTGCAGATAGTCAAAGATAGGAACGTACGGGGACCTGAGGATGTAACGCCGGATGCACCAGCGTCGCGTGTTGCAGGGTGCCGGGTAATTCGCCAGCGGTCGAGTACGCCAATGGATGATGCCACAATTCAGGACCACCAGGGAAGAATGGGCTCCCTAAGTCTGCAATAGAATACACAATTAAACACCAACGAATTTCGTATAGAGGTCTTCGTACTTTTAATCTAACTCGATGCACGCGAGCGACTTCTTTATCTACGGTATAAATTATAATATTCAAATTATAATTCAAATTATAGTTCAAATTATAGTATTCAAGTTATAGTATTCAAATTGTGTTATCGAGTGTAACATGTGTAATATTATTTTATAAGTGTATGAGTGCTTGTTTTTTATTTGTATGATAGTGTTCATTTTTGGCGGGAATCTGTACGTTACTATATGGAGGTTAAATTTGAAAATTAAAAAATTTGTAACAATTTGTAAATAATAAGATAAATTTGCAACGATTCTTGTTACAGAAAGGAAAATTGTCAGCAAGTCTTGAATAGGGAATTCTGGATTTTGTACCTATGTCGAGTATTTATGGAGTAGGTTGTATTTTTATAGTGGTGTTATGATACGCTATTTTTACAATGTAATGTGTTGCAAGATATTGTTTTTATAGTGTCATATATTGTAGTGTGTTGTAACATATTATTTTTGTAATATAATGTGCTGTAACGTATTATTTTTATAATGTAATGTGCTGTAACGTATTATTTTCCTTGTGTAATGTCTTGTACTATATTATTTTTGTGATGTAACGTGTTATAACAAGTTATTTTGACAGTCTAATATGCTGTATCATGTTTACGATGCAGTACGTTATAATATATTGTTAACGCAAGAAATATGATCGCGACGAGATCGCTCGAGTGCATCGATTTTCGGACGATTTTTCACTTTGACGGCCATTGTCACTTATTCCTGATTTACTTATGTATTTATTGGATGCGTGAGAACATTGATCTTTTATTACATTGGAAATAGTTCACGATGTATGATTTATAAGGATAATTGTATCGATAGAACCGTTAGCCATGATCTCCTATTGATGTGACACTTTTGGTAAGCGATGTAGGAACTTACGTATTTTATATCAAGAATTTACTTTATATAATTGACGAGGTATGATTCAAAATGAATCCTGTAAATTTTTTAATTCTAAAATTTTAATAAAATTAAATTGTTACAATGTAAAATTCTATTGATTTATTACAACACGAATATAAATAAAAACTTCAAATTTGTTCTAGATGGACAAAAAAAATAAAATATTGAAATAAAATTGATCAACAATATTTGGAACCTATAATATTGGTCAAGGTCAACTAAAACGAAATTATGAACGATTATTGATTATATTGACTGATTTCTGATTGTGTTCCATACACAGAGAATCGACTACATTTCGATTACTTTCAACGAAATGTATGATTTATGTGGCATATCGTGACTGGAACGGTTTTCTCTACATATTGATCTGTTTTTCTACTTCTGATTAAGTCTGATTCTAGTTGATTGATGGTGAAACGTGCACTTGCGTGTTTTAGATCTAGAATCGGGTTAAAAGTATCTTCTTACCGATCTATTGGAACAGCAGAGTAAACACGTACAATGTTAATCAATATGGAAAACACTGTACTATTAAACATACAGGGTGTCTCACAACTAGTCTAGGTCCTTGAAATAGGGGGTAGCTGATGCGCTTCTGAACAAGATTTTCCTTTACAAAAATGAGGTTTGAAGCTTCGTTGTTTAATTATTAAGGAAAAACGCGGACCAATCAGAGTGCGAGGATTATTACGCGTTGGCCTACTACGCGTCGAATATCCACGCGTTGGATTACTATGCGTTGAATATCCACATGCTGGATTACTACGCGTTAGATTACCACGCATTAGATTCCTACGCTTAGAATTACCATGCGTTGCATAATTACGCGTTGGATTACTACGCGTAGAATATGCACGCGCTGGATTACTACGCGTTGGATATCCACACGCTGTATTACTACGCGTTCGTTGGATATCCACACGCTGTATTAGTACGCGTTGGATTACTACGCGTTGGATTATTACGCGTAGGATTACCACGCGTTGCATTACCACACGTTGCACTATTACGCGTTGGATTACCACGCGTTTGATAACTACGCGTTATCCGAAGCAGCCGTTCTCGCGTCTGTGCGTGCGTAATCCTCGCGCGTTGATTGGTCCGTGTTTTCCTCAATAATTCAAAAACGAAGCTTCAAACCCCATTTTTGCAAAGGGAAATCTTATTCAAAATCGCGTCAGCTATCCCTTATTTTAGAGACCTATACTAGTTGTGAGACACCCTGTATAATGTTCGCATCTGGTAAGTTGGTGGATAGCGCGATAGGGTACATACGTGTTTACTACGTCAAAATAATTCATCATAGATCAGATAGTAATACTATTATTATTAAAATTACAATTTGTTTTACAAGAAATTCATCTAATTCAAAATATTTATCAAGTTAAAAAGTTCTATCGCACAATTGCAGCTAAAAGTATTCCTAGCATCCTGGAATAAACATTCAATAAAAACCAATGCAATAAACAATAAATATAGCAGTAGACAATTTGTTAAGGTGCAATAATTGTTAACAGTAGATAATAATTAATTATCTCATTTTGATTCAACGTCCAAATTGACTGTTCACAAAAACAACAAAAATCCCAGTTTCAACACATCAAATCATCACATCGGCACTTTTTATAAACTGTCCTTGTATCATTACCATGCATCTCTGATCGTAAGTTCCTACGCACCTGAGTACCAAGATTATATACAATGAAACCACATAATAGCGAGATCTGGCCATCGAACACGTAATTATTGGCTTCTTGGAAGTCGGAAAGCACTTATGATTAACGCCAATCATCGAGGTCTGACTGATCTCAAAGACCTACACCGCGCATTTCTTACTGGAAGTTGCACGCTGTAATTAGCAGTATCCTTTAAACTGCGATATAACAGGTTTTTTTAGGAAACACCTTACAGGATATTAATCGATCCTTGGTAATTTGTTCGTGGAATGCGATGCGATTTGTAATAAAGTTTTATTAATTTTTCGTTATATTTTGTTGCGATAAAATGTCGGATATTAATAATATAGCTGTTCTGGTAAGTATACGGTTAGGTTAGGTTAGTATTCTGCTAGAGCACGAGTTGACGTGTGGATGCAGAGGATTAGAGTCGTATTTGGGGATGTGGGAATTTGGGGATGTAGGAATATGGGGATGTAGTGATTTGGACTCTGAGTGTCCAGAAATTGGATACATGGAAGAATTCTAATAAATTTACTTTGATTTTTTCAAAATGTAGAAATTAAAAAGTTTCACAGACAAGAAAAGTAATTTGTAAATTTTCAAATCTTCAAATTTAGAGACGTATAAACTTAAATTATCCAACTCTCAGATTTCTCTCAAACAACTCTCCACATTCAAAACATAGAAATTATAAAATTTCAGAAACGTATAAAATTTAAAATCTAAAAAGCTAAAAATTTCAAAGCAAACTAAAACGTTACAAACTTAAATTACAACTGTACAAACTTGAAATTTACTAAACTCGAGACCACTCAATTGCTCTCAAATCGAAGAAAAAGCCTCTCCCGAACTTTCCACCCGAAAGTACTCTACTTTCACTCGCAAGTTACCGCAACTCGTAAACTCTAAAAGAAATTTCTTTCCAACCGCAGTGTCGCAATAATATCTCCACCGCGTCACATAAAAGAGGTGCGAAAGAAAATTCTCTAGCGCAGCACTGATTTATAGAGCGAGTTCATCGTTTGTCATGGAACAATTCGTTCTCTTTGAGCGGACTTTTTTCCGCTGGCGAACCGGAAGTGCTTGACGGTTGCATACGTATCACATTCACGATGTGAAGCGTCGTCTGGCGTCCCAGTAAAACCAATGCAAATCGGCGCAAAACGGTTTCCACGAAACCGTTTGTTTCTCGTGACCGACGATACGTCACGATCCGGCAATTATTCCAGAAAGATTGGCCAAAGTGGCCATGGACAACAAGATGCTTCTTTTACACAACGTTGCTGGCAGAACTTGGTGACGCTAGGACGCCATTTTATTTTATTATGAAGCTAATCTAATTTTTATGCTTCTTATTTGGGAAATTTTTTGGGCCTTTATGCGTTGAAATTGTGAAGGATATATAAGTGTATATAAATATATAAATATATAAAAATGTACAAATATAAAATGACATGTAAATATATGAATATATAAGTACATAAATAAATATGTAAATGTATAAACACAAATAAATATATGAGTACATAAGGACATAAATAAATATGTAAATGTATAAACATAAACAGATATATGAATATATAAGCATGTAGGTAAATATGTAAATGTATGAACATAAATAAGTATATAAATCAATAAAATAAGTAAATATGTGAATATAGAGAAACATGAATAAATGTACGAATATACATATACTATTATATACTATTCACATAGTAACTACATTATCCTTCATCTATTTCCAAAAATATCAAAATACCTAAATGTGAAAATTACCTAAGATCTACCTATCGTAAAAATTGAATTACCAAGACATTTTGATTAGGTAAGCCTCCCTCGAACAAAATGGTATTGTACCAGCTACACCGTTCAATAAGGGCAACTGAATTTTTGCACCCTCTGCGATTAAGTTAATGGCTGGCCCTGGATGAGGGAGATCTAACTCGACCTGGTTGCAAGCTTTATAATTGATGATCGTAAGCGAACTATGTAGGTACAGTTAATATCGCAGACAAAAAGAACACACTTCTTCGACCTGGACGACTACGGAATAACAATTATTCCACGTGATTTTAACTGGATGATTTATGGATACTTGTACATTTATTATTTTATTTTAATTTCATTTATTTTATGTGGGATTATTAGCAATTTTGTGGCGTTCCAGTTTTTCGAGTATCTTTGGAGATAAATGGAGGTAAGTCTTTTGTATCGCTGGACCTTTGAAGTTAATTATATTCAGAGAATAAATCTTAGTTAAATTATGACAAAATTATGATAAGGTTATTGTAATTTCGTATAATAACGATGTTCTTATGTTTTGAG